GGCACAACAGTTATAAAGAATTGCGAGCCATTAGTATTGGGTCCGGCGTTGGCCATACTAAGGGTGTAGGGCTTGTCGTGCTTTAAGTCCGGATGAAACTCATCCTCGAACTCCTCGCCCCAAATGGATTCACCTCCAGTGCCGGTGCCGGTGGGGTCACCCGTTTGGATCATAAACTGTTTGATGACTCTATGAAATATGTGTCCATTAAAGTAACCATTTTTCGAATTAACGCAGAAATTCTCCACAGTTTTGGGACATTCTTTGCCGAATAGCTTGCAGTGAATGTCACCCATCGTTGTATGGATTATACAGTTATCCCATATCTTCTGCTGTGCCGGCGCTTCGGTGGCGGCGATGATGTCTTCGCGAGAGGGCTTCTCGTTGAAGACGTCCCGATCAGCGCCGGTGGCGTTCTCACCGCTCGACTCTTCGGGTTCTCTTTTGGTGAACAAATAGAATCTATTCTTCTTGAAAGCCGTACACAGAAGGGTTGGGTCGGGATGTGATGCCTCGAGACCTGGATTGTCACTGGCCTTCATCTCGGCACTAACCGATGCTTTGCTTTTGTTAGGAATGGTCTGATGTAGGGATAGACTCAACGCCCGGAAGTTCTCGCCCTTCGCCAGCATTTTGACGCATCTATTGGTATACCAGTTGACAATTTTGATGCCCAAAAGGGTCGGGTATATCACGAAATAACTGCTCTCATCGAAAATGATTCGCTCGAATCGGAATGCGTCCGACTTCTCGAGATCCCTTTCCATAGCCATACGTCGCCCGAACTCCATGTTCTGCAGCTGTGGTGTCGTCTGTTGTAATTGTGTCAACTGCTGAAGACTCTCATCGAAAACTCGAAGCAGTTTTCCCGTCAAGAACTTAAATACTCGCACCTTTCGATCGGCACAAATGGCTGCAAAGAGTTTGCCATCAGATGAGTAGCAGATATCGTGAGGTATTGTCTTGTTTTTGGCGAATTCGTACAAATCGGTGTCCAGTTTGGACTCAAAGTCCACAATACTTGCGGGGAATTTGTAGTCATTCTTATGGGACATCCAATAGTCTAACATCCCTTTGGTGTCCACCGAAATCATAGTCGAAAAGACGGCATTATATTTCATACAAATGACTGGATCTGAATGCAAGCGCTCGAAGACATGGAGGGCGGCGTTGGTGGCGGTCGCGTCATATGTATAGATCTTATGGCTGTCGGCATCCGACACAGCGATGGCAGGGATGGGATCACCGGCAGAATGACACCATTGACACGCGTGTGGCCTATAGTCCATACGAAGCATATTAATCATATCGAAGTTAACCACATCAAACACTTTCATTGTCTTGTCGGTGGACACTGAGGCCAACAAAGTGCCCGTTGAGTTGACACAGAGGTCACTGATTGGTCCCAAATGTGTGCGGAAGTGTTTGACAAACTCTATGCCCATCGATAGCTTCTTCCAGAACTTTATGTGTCCGTCAATACTGGCGGTTATGATGAAGTCGGTGGTGGTGACCAACACGTGACTCACCACATCCCGGTGCATATATGACCGCTCGTACGACTCACTGGAGCACAGGTTCTCCACATAAACGTCTTCGAAGGGCAATGTCTTCCTCTTCTTAGCCACGGATGAAGGTTCCGATGCCTCGTCGCCGCTCACACTCTCATGAGTGTGGTCTGAGTTATCTTCACTCAACTCTTTGCGTTTAACGCCATTTCCTTCTGTTATCACCTCTTTGTCAGTGTCTTCACCAGTGATGGGTTGAGACATGTCTTCGCGTGAATACCCACTCAATTGAACCCAAAAATCACAACAAATGACAATATTTTACGATTTCATTCAAAACATGTGTTTTTGAGGTTTGGCTTCAGATATGAGTACACATTATGCGAGCGTTTTGTTCACTGAATGCATTGTCGCGAAGGCATTGCGTGAACACTGTATTGATTGAGGGTTTGTGTAAACATCTCAACAAGAGTTTGACGTTTTGCGTGATTTTGAATTGTATTTGATATTTGAGTGATAATTAGTCGCTGTGTTTGAATCGCACGTGAAGTCAGTGTGAAATGCAGTCAAAGTGTTCAACAGATGACTGATTGGCTGTCATT